AGATCTCTCCTCATCATCGTTCAAGTTGGTAAAGAGCTTTGGTGAAGAAGAATGCTTCTTGATAGCAATGGTTGCAACTTTCTTTGTTTCTTCTTCACTTGAGCTATCATCATTTGAATCCCATTCATGACCAATATGAGCTTGACCCGAATAGTTCTTCTTCTTGTATTGGGTCTTGTCATCTTTCTTATAGTGTTTCTTCTTCTTCTTGTCTTTCTTGTCCTCTTTGTTCTCAAAAGGACACTCGACAATAAAATGTTCTGTGCTTCCACAATTATAACACTTTCTCTTTTACTTGTTGGGGAACCTTCTCTTCACAAACTTATACCCTTCTCTTTTCATCCCCTTCTTGTACTTCCTCATGAACAAAGCAACATCACCAATCTCACCGAAAGACACTTCATCATCTTCATCATCACTTGAGTCACTTGATGAATCAACAATCTCAACCTTGCTTGATCTTGATCTTGGCGGCTTGCTTGAGGTGGAGGTCTTGTTTGATTTGTTTGCCTTGAGAGCTACCTCTTTGACCTTCAAGTTCTTCATCTTTGCTTCTAGCTCTCCAAACTTCTTCCTTTGTTGTATCTCCATCTCCATGAGCTCATGAGTGAGTATTCTTTCAAGGACATCACTAGGGGTGAACTCTTCGAACCTCTTCTCTCTAATCAATGTCATAAGAGTTGGGTTTCTTGGAGCAAATGCTTCTAACATCACTTTTACAACATGATGATCATCCAAGTCATCCCTACCCAAGCCTCTAATCTTGCCAACTATCACCATCAATCTATCAAACATCTCTTGAGGGCCTTCTCCATCCTTGACAAACCTATTGAGTTGAGCCATCAATAGATCAATCTTGGACTTCTTTACCTTACTAACCCCTTCATGTGCAAGGTGAAGAGTATCCCAAATCTTCTTAGCAATCTCTAAATCAATCACTTTGTTGTACTCTTCCTAGCTTAATGCACTTAGAAGAGCACTAGTAGCTTGAGCATTGCGATGTATCATGCGAATCTCTCTTGGTGTGGGGTTTTTGGGATCAACAGGATCTTCAAAACCTACACACATAATATTCCACATCTTTGGATGGAGTCCAGTAAGATAAGCCTTCATCATAGAGGTAATTCCTTGTGAGCCATTAAAAAGATTGCAATTCCCTGTGAGCCATTAAAAAAGTTCGGTGGACTTCAGCGCCACTGCTCTAAATTTTTTTGCCCTCCATGCCACTGCCGTCAGATTGAGCTCTAACGGTGTCAAACTGCAGGTGTGAAAAGTCAAAAATACCGTTAGGTTTAAATATGCCATTAATTTTTTGAGTATTTTAACGACTTCAAATGGAAAAACTTAAAACTAGAAAGTTGTAGATCTCGTCGAGATGTACAATTTTCATAGAAAAATTATCTTCATTTAATACCGAAAAGATATGATTTTTCTAAAATATATTAATCATATCAAATTGTATCTTTTTTTGGAATTAAATGAAGATAAATTTTATATGAAAATTGTAGATCTCGACGAGATCTACAACTTTCTAGTTTTGAGTTTTCCCATTTGAAGTCGTTAAGATGCTCAAAAAATTAATGGCATATTTAGACTTAAGGGTATTTTTGACTTTTCACACCTACAATTTGACACCGTTAGAGCCCCATCTGATGACAGTGGCATGGAGGGCAAAAAAATTAGAGCAGTGACGCTGAAGTCCACCAAACTTTTTTAGTGGCTCATAAGGAATTGCGATCTTTTATAATGGCTCACAGGGAATTCCCTCTTCATATGTTTCCACTTGGTAAAGTTAGTCCCATCAAATTGGGGTAACTTGTTCGCGGGTATGTTGATGTGAGTGTTAGTAGACAAATTTATGGAATCATAATTAAAAGATACACTCGAATATGATCTCTTGGTGTTGGACTTGAGTGTTCTCTTTGGTAGCCTTTGAGCATAGTACTCATCATCATCTCCATTTTCTGACTCGCTGCTTGGTTGTGGACTTGATTCCACTTTTCTTCTTGCTTTGAGTTTCTTCTGCTCATTGTTCTTGTTCTTTTCCCTTTGCTTGTCTCCCTTGGAGGATCCCTTTCCACCGAGCTTAAGCTTTGGAAGCCGCTCAATCGTTGCTGTAAGATCATCCTCAGGAGCTTCTAGTTCTTCTCCACTTGGAACATCTTCATAACGTTCCTCTCCATCTTCCTCCGGTTCCCTTTCTCTAGGACTTGCCATTTCCTCACACAGTTAAGTGCTATCACGAGGAAACCCACTTTGATACCAATTGAAAGGATCTAGCAAGTGGCCTAGAGGGGGGTGAATAGGTCTTTTTTCTAAAATTTAATCAACTTCATGAAACCAGTCAGAACGCTGAATCTTCGGGCCTAAGCGTGGAGGTTCCAGGGCTAAGTGTGGAACCTTTGGGATCAGAGTATGAAATCGACCTACTGCAGAATTTAGTGAATAAAAAATAGATCGAATGTGATACCAGTCTTTCTGGGGAGTTTGCTGAGCTATCCAAACGGTTGGTTGCACCTAGAAGATGAGGAACTCGTAGATCGGATGCAAACCCTAAAAATCAATTCAAATCACAAGTAATAGCAACAACAATCACAAACACAAGAGACACATGGATTTATCCCGTGGTTCAACTCGCCACAAAGGCTTGTCTACGTCCACGTTGTTGAGGTTAGCCACAAAGGCTATGGAGTCTCTTTGAACTCACTCCTCTTCTCCAACCTATCACCAAGGCAAATAGATTGGAGGGTTCTACTAAGTCACAAAGGGTAATACAAACGTCTCGTTGCTCAGCCATAAAGGATTGTGAGCTCCTGGGCAATCGTTAGCCGTCTAGGAGCCAAGCTCCAAGAGTAACGAACACAGTAAGCGGCTAGAGCTTCACCAAGTGTACAAGAATGGAGGAGAAGGATCTTGTCGAGCTTTCTCACACTCTCTAGAGCCAAATCCCTCAAGGAATCACGGAGATCTTGAGCAAGAGAGTTGGGAGGCACTGAGCTTGAGAGAGAGAGTTTCTGTTCGAAGTGAATGAATCAGGGAAGAAGATGATCGTTGGGGGCGAAGGGGTGAGGTATAAATACCTCCACTGTCACTCACAAAACGATCGGGTCTGACAGACCCCGAAGCCTCCGTGTCAGGCCATGGAGGTTCCGTGCCTAAGCACGGAGGTTCCGCGTCTGAGCGCGGAGGTTCCACGTAGGCCAGAGCTGATAAGAATTTAGCTCGGCTGGCTTTTTATTGCTGGGATTATTTGAGATGTAGATGGAGTTTTGAGCACTTGGTTCCATCCAGCACACCATTAGTATCCCCTTGATTAACTCAATTTCAAAATATAAAAAGAAGTAAACTAGCTCTTTGAGCTGTTGCGAGCCTTCCAGAAGAATTGGGGGTCTTCTCCTTTGTTTCTTTGCACCCACGACTAATGATACTCTATCAAACACTTGGAGAAGCCATTAATCCTTTAATTATGTCGTCAACATCACCAAAACCCACTTACGGCATGATTGCACCTACAGACGGGATACCGAGAGGATGGTTTAGGGGTCCTGGTGGCGGTGGAGACGACTTAGCCAGGTCGGGGTAGGGGAGCTCTATTGCCATGGCGTTGGCGAGAGAGGAGGAGAAGGTGGCCGTCGCGAATGCGCTAGGACTTCATCGGAACTGCAGTGCCACGACGGGTAGGAGAGGCGAAGAGCGTCGAAGTCTCGGAGAGGGAGAAAATGTCATGAGGAAAAAATGAGCTACCAAGGCGCAGGCCACCTAGGCCAGCCGCGGGGCTGACCTAAGGCCTAAGCCCCCCTAAAAATAAAATTCTATTCTCCTTTTCGTGTCCCAGTACTGATGCAAACGTGGCACGTGGGGAGGCATGTCTGTTTCTAGGGGGAATTCTCTGTATGTCATTAAAAAAGATCGCAATGTCATGTGTGTCTCTAGAAAAGTTCAACGGTCTTCAGCGCCACTGCTTCAACTTTTTTGTGCCCTCCATGTCACTGCCGTCAGTTTGAGCTCTAACGCTGTCAAACTGCAGGTGTGAAAAGTCGAAAATACCCTTATGTCTAAATATGTCGTTAATTGTTTTTTGAGCATCTTAACGACTTCAAATAAAAAAACTCAAAACTAGAAAGTTGTAGATCTCGTCAAGATATATAATTTTTATATAAAAATTATTTTCATTTAATTCCGTAAAAAAGATATGATTTTTCTAAGATATATCAATCATATCAAATCATATTTTTTTTGCGGAATTAAATGAAGATAATTTTTATATGAAAATTATAGATCTCGACGAGATCTACAACTTTCTTGTTTTGAGTTTTTTCATTTGAAGTCGTTAAGATGCTAAAAAAATTAATGATATATTTAGACATAAGGCTATTTTCGACTTTTCACATATGCAGTTTGACGGCGTTAGAGCCCAAATTGACGGCAGTGGCATGAAGGGTAAAAAAAAATTAGAACAATGACACTAAAGACCACTAAACTTTTCTAGAGGCACATAAAACATTGCGATCTTTTTTTAAAAGCACACCAGGGCCTTGTTTAGATTACAAGTTTTTTCACTCTCTCTCCATTATATTAAATCTTTGGACACATGTATGGAGTATTAAATATAGATAAAAAAATAACTAATTACACAATTTGATTGTAAATTACGAGACAAATCTTTTAAGCCTATTTAGATCATGATTGGACAATAATTATCAAATATAAATGAAAATACTACAATGTCAAATACTGATTTCTAACCTCAATCTAAACGAGGCCAAGGAACCCCCCCTGTTTCTAGTATCTCCGATTCGGCAGTATGGCAATACAGTAGAATTGATAAAGCTTACTGATGGCCACACGGTGACACGGATCAAGCAGTAGTCACCAAACCACATTTGATGGCCACGAGGCCCCTGAGCAGCTTCTCCGCGCGTCCCAGATCTCCGGGCACCGTCGTCTGGTTCCTTCCGACCGCCGCCCTCCTCCTCCTCGTCCTCCTCCGCTGGCCGCCCATGGGCTCCTCCTACCCTCCCGTCTCCCCTCGTAACAAACCACCACCCCCTTAACCCATCCATTCGCTCAGTTTCTTGATTTCCACCAATAATTTGTTCCAGTCGTGAAATCTCGCCCCCCATTTTCTGTTTTTTTGCGTCAGGCGGCTCCGGCTCGGTGCCGGCCCGGCGCGACGAGCTTTACTCGAAGATGGCGCGTGACCTCGACGAGCGCGGCGCGGCGTTCCTCAAGGGCGGCGTGACGTCGCAGTCGCTCACGCTCTCGGACCTCTTCGACACCGCAGATGACGGCACCGTCGTGCCCAGGCTCAAGGTGCGGGCTCACCCCCTCGCTGCTCACGTTGGTTGACATGTGCTTGGCTGGGATGGTGTCGCTGAACTGAGATGTGCTTCGCAGGCCGCCGACCCGCCAGTGCGCGCGAATGTGCTCTATATGGATCCCAAGTTCGCCGCTGTGATCTCGTGAGTGATGTGCTTTGCCCAAATCTATTGGCAACTTGCAATTCTGTTAATTGTTCCTGAAATATGATGCTCTCTCTCCCTGCAAGAGAGAAGAACTAAGTTAGTTAGCCTATAGGTGGTCAGTCCTGCAAGAGAGAAGAACTAATTCAGTATGTTTTGGGTTTTTTGCAGGAAAGCTGTCAAGGACGTGTTTCTTCCTTATTTTGACCAAGGTACAGGTACAGCTTCTGTTATGCTATGGCATCCCATACATGTAGAACTGTAGAATTTCATCTACTGAATTCAATTGGCCTGACATTTGAATGCTGCTAAATAGAGTTATCACTTATCAGTTCAGTTGCCTGCTGATTGCTTGGTTAGTGCCACAGAAACCGACAACTTTGTTGAAGCATTTGATCTTGAACACTTTGATTGGTTGATTTGTTTTGCAGCTATCTGGTTCCAAAATACGAGCATGTACCACTTCAGCATGTTTCATGCCTCCCATCACTTGGAGCCCATTGTAGCAACCGAGGATGAGGTGAGCGCAAGCTCTGATTAACCTCTTTAAGCATGGCTGTTGGAAGTTTTATTGACATATCTATATGTGATGTCCTTGAGATTGAAGCCGAAGTGGAGGCAATAAAAAGAGTTGCCGAAAATCTTTGCCCACTTAAAATTGTTTTGGATAGAGTGGTTTTGACCTCAACCGGTGTGCTTCTTGGACTGTGGCAGGTTTGGATCTGAAGAGACCCTGTTGTCTGATTTTTTCTTTTTGATATTAAGCTCAAGTAACCTTACCATGCAATTCTCTACCCTGAGTTCCTGAGAAGTATTCGAACTGAAATATAGGTAGTTATATTTGGTGTGTTTAGGTTGAATCTGGTACTGATCCTGCTGAAATCCGCTCAAGATTGAGAGAAGCTCTTCCTCGAGCACCTCAAAAGCAACTGGTATGAGCAGCTCAAAATTTGATAGAACTGTTAACCAATTTTTACTTTTCCAAGAGATAGCATTATCTTGATAAAGAAACATCAACAAAAGAACAACATTTGCCTAACAAATTGATTTTGGTACCCAGCTAAATTTAATGTTCAAATATAGTGGTGCAGTATGTAGTTATTGGTATGGATGGCTATTTACATATTATCTTGCACATTTCAATGAATCTGTTGCCTAACCTGATTTTTGAATTTGACAGTATGACCCTGTGCTGCTTCACACCTCCTTTGCACGAATTTTGGGACATCCCAAGCTCCCAGAAGAGGTATCCCACTTATAATCAATTTTTACTTTGCAGTTTGCACAATTCAATCTTTCCATCAATCTAAGGCTAGTTCTAATCTTTGAAAGTTGAATTTGCAAGCTTTGACCAAGAATCTGCTAAGTTACATATGTTTAGTGTACAAAAATTGCATCGATAAATTCATATTCAAACTTCAAAATATTTTTAGGATGGTGTTGATTTTGCAGCAATTGACAATATATTGTTGTTGTAAGAGAAAATAGAGATACAAATATACTTTTAAAGACTCCCACCTTCCAAAATATGCTTTAAACTGATGCCATATGGAGTATTTGTTTCCATTTTGGTCGCTAGAAGATGTTTACATCAAACTACTGGGCAGCTAGGTTCTTAAGTAAAACCACATAATAAAACCCACAGACTGGGATGCAGGGTCTGCTCGAAATGCACTCATATCCTCTGCAGAGACATTATGAGTTACTGATATGTGGGCCTGCTCTCCCTTCTGGCCTCTATGCCAGTGACTCTTAATGCCTCTACAGTATGCCTTGACTGCAGGGGATATGAGTCTGTTTGGAACTGCTGTGGCTTATAGAGGATGTTGCCTCTTTATTTTGCTACTTAAGGATGTGTAATAACCAAACAAAAGCTTTAAATACTTTCTTCACCTTTTTTAGGGCATCTTTCATCATCTAATTTTATCTACATGATAGTCCATGGAAGTACAGTAATCCTAGAGCAGATAATGCAGTAATAATTTTTGAATGTTTGCTTTGGTACATCATTTAATTCTTTATTATTTAATCTTACGTGACACAACATTTTCTGTACCCTCTTGTAGCAAAGTGCATCATCTTTTGATCATGTCAAGTTCTTTCATGAGCTGGTTGTTCAAGTTAATGAGAAGATTCGTGGCTTCCAGGTAGACTTCTTTTTGCTCATACCCATGAGTTGGTTGACTGCAAACATAGCATCCATGGTTACCTATTTATCATCACTGTTTTCAGGTTACGATATTGGAGCTATGGTATGTCGAAGAGTACGATGTTCTTGCGCTGGCGCTGAATGGAAAGATGAAAGTGCTGAGGCTCCACCTTGGCTGCAATCGTCAGGGCAATTAAAGTTATAGAGGTCATGAAAACAGGAAAGGATTAGGAGATGCACAGCCACCAAACAGATTTGTTTGCTTGCATGTCTCTCGCCTAAGCCACCTCAACCTTGGTTCTGCTGAGCTGAAAGATCTAGAGTCTGAAACTGGACGTACCAAGAACTGACAAGCTATATTGACGAATGTTTATGTAGGAACTGTATGCATGTTTTAGTGGTATATGTAATGTAATTACTTTTTTTAATGCATGTAATGTAATTATTTGAGCACAAAAACTAGAAAATTTTTGCACGCTATGTAATGAAATGCAACTTATGTTCATATTCTGTTTCATTTCTCCCGCGTTAGAAACATCGACGGATAAAGAACTGAATTCCTTGTATGTGCTGCAGCACAATTGTGCCACAGCTTTAAGCTCAAAAACCAATACTGTGTGTGGTTTGAAGACAAGGCCACAAGGTGCATGTTTGTTTCTTTTAACAATTTTGCCTGCCTTTGCTTGTTTGGGCAACCTTTGCCTTGTCAGATTAGGCAAGGCATTTCTATTCTCTTGCTTTGGCAAAAAAAGAAAAAAAAAGAAAAAAAAAAGAAGCATAAGCTCGATATCCAAGCTAACATCACCCTTCCATAACCTTGCTTGGTGAGTTTACACAGTGTCTGACAAAGCAACCAAACTATGAGATCAAACTTGCCCGAAAGATAAGATGTGACTAGACTCCACCCCTGGTGCTCCCTGACTAAGCACTAGGACTCCGTCCCTGTTGTCCCCAACTAAACACTAGGACTCCGTCCCTATGTCCCCGAACTAAACACCCAGACATGAATGGCTTCACCCATCCTAGCTTAAAATTTTATAAGCCTGGCTTATCAGCCATGGTACACCCAGCCATTGTTCTGCAGAGGCCGAGTTCATCTTGAAAAACAAAATCATATGATACATAACTACCTTGGTTCAAATCTATTAACGTTAAATTTTAAATGGCCAATCTCACTATTAGACCTGCTATGTTGTATGGTGCAGAATGTTGGCTTACGAAAAGACGACATGTTCAACAGATAAGTGTCGCGGAAATGTGTATGTTGCGTTGGATTTATGGTCATACAAGAAGGGATCGAGTTCGGAACGATGATATACGTGATAGATTAGAGGTAGCATCAATTGAAGAAAAGCTTATCCAACACCGGTTGAGATAGTTTGGACATGTCCAACGGAGACCTCCAGAGGCACCGGTGCGTAGTGTAATCTTAAGCCAGGATAGTAACGTGAAGAGAGACAGAAGAAGACCGAAGTTGACTTGGTAGAGACAATAAAAGGAGATGAAATGATGGAATATATCCAGAGACTTAGCCTTCGATAGGAGTGCTTGGAAAACAGCTATTCACGTGCCTGAACCTTGATTGCTTATGTTGGGTTTCAACTCTAGCCAACCCCAACTTATTTGAAACTTAAAGGCTTTGTTGTAGCTGTAATTGTAATCTCACTATTGGGTGTCAAATTAAGTTTTAAATGTTATAAGACTGCACCCAATCTGAAACGCCATTCTCTTATGACTGGAGGCACACCGCTCTGAGTGACTGTAGTAGTAATTGCAATCAGCCCATGTTCCCTGAAACTCAGAACAATGGAGCTATCATGTTATTTGGTATTTGCAGACTTGCAGTACAACATTTCGAAGTCTGAATGTTTATCCTTGAACAGTAGTGTAAGTCCATGGAAAGCACGGTAAAAACCACCGCCCCAACCAGCGACGACAATGTGACTTCTGCAGTGACAGCTGACATCAAAAGTTAGTAATACCTTTCTGCGAAGCTGAAATACAACATCACATTGTCCTTTGGTGCCGAGTAAATACTGGCTTGACAAGGCAAGGAGAGAACTCACAAAAGGGGAAAAAAGGGTACCACGAATACCAAAAGGAGAGAAAAACATGACAACAAAAGAAATGAAACAGAAACTAATTTACATGTTATTCAAGTATCTACTGTCCAGCGAGCTTCATAACCTCCGATGGACCATCCAGCTTCGTCACCTCTGACGGGCCTTCTAGTTTTCTCAAACCAACTTCACAGTAGTTACTAATGTCAAAATTGGTAACAGCATGAACACCACGAAGCTCAATTGCTGCTAGGTCATAAGCTTCTGCCGCCTCTTCTTCAGTTTCTGCAAACCATAGTCAGTTTCAAATAAGGATAATTATGCAGTAGCTTTCTAGCTGATAGAAAACCTTGGAAGTTCCACAAGGTATAAGTAGTAAATTACAAAACTTCACTCACCAAAGGTCCCAAGGTAAATGTCTTTGGTGTCTCTACTCTCACCAATCCTACCAATTCTTGCTTGCCACTTACCATCCTTCCGCCTGTTAAGTCAAAACATTGATTAGAGAAAGTTGCAAACATGCAGCAGACAACTAAAACTTCCCTGGTTAAGCACAACACAAAAAATTGCTCCGCTCAAAGGAAACCAAATGATTATCAGTTTGTTTAGCAAAGCAGGAATAGCACCTGGTTACACCCCGGTATGATGAGGTACCTCTCGAGAAACAACTGCTTTGCCTATAATAATAAACCATTACAATAAAAAATAGTCAGCACATAACTACTACAATATAATTTTTTTGACTGTACCACTGACCTCCTTATGTAGGCCACAAATTCATCTTGAGACATGGTCTTCATAACCTCAATTTCTTTCTCATAATCAGAAATCTGGTAACACGTAATAGCTATTAATGCAATTTACTTTTCAGTTCTTGAACAAGGAATGCCAGTTCCTAGCATATCAGTAAGTGCCAAACAGCATGTGATTCTTACATTGAAGTTCAGTTTGGTGTTTGGTCCTGTGCCCCAATATTTAAGGGCAGCCAAATCATGTGCCTTTGCAGCCTGCTCTTCAGTAACATAGCTGCCTGTAATGGCAGAAAAGAAGTTAAAACTTGAGCAGCTTTTGTGTTCCAAATGATCCCCCTTCGATGAATAGCAACACTCACCTAAGTATACTGAAGATCACAATAGACAGCCAAGAACGGAAGCCATGTTCAATGCACAACATTAAATGAAGGATCAGCTAAAGAAGACAGGAAATTTGAGGACTGCTGGACAAGTAAGCTTTCAGGTGTTGATGACTCTTCATCCAAATATTTACATAGGCAACAGATAAAATCATGAACCATAATAATGCATTGTTAAGCATAACACTCGTCTTGATCATCAATTCACAAATACAAGATTGATGGGTACCTGATGCATCCATAGGTACTAACTTTGTTAGCCCAATTTTTAGTACTATCCTAGTCCCATGATCTACCCCCATCTATTCAACTACAAGTATTATAGGGAATACTAGGTGACTTGCTGACCATTGGTTTGTGTATTGAAGTCATGATGTGTCAATTAAGACACCCTGAAAACAGGCCAGGAATAGATTGTAGTTATATCTCACTGAATATCTAATGTGCTGCAGAAAAAAAAGAAACATAATTCTGGACAGCTGATCTTGCAGTTTGGTATTAAGTATACTTGTGCCGCCGATTACCAAAGGCTATGGGAAAAAAAAATTATGCAACACCGTCGCACAGCACCCAGTGTGCGACACCCTGTGATCCCATGACACGTGTACTACTCGCTCCATTCGGTCGTTTGGATACACACAAGCTTTGCAGGAATCACGCGCTGTGCTACTCGCTCCATTCGGCGGTTGCCTTACTTGTTGGGACCTGGATACACGCGTCAAACAATCACAGGGTGTCGCACGGTAGGGTGTTGTGCGACGGCCGTCGCATACAATTTCTTTCCAAAGACAATCGTGTGCACATGGCATTAGCATTCCTAACTAAACCGCAGCAATGTTGTAGCCGAAAATATTCAGACGATTTTACAGTGAGCGAGAGCTCGGGTTCGAGGTTGGTAGAGTGCATACCGTGCTTGCCCTTGCGCTTGCGGCCCTTGACCTGGCTGGTGTTGTCCCATAGGTGCGCTTCGTACTTGCCGCTCCACTTGAGCCTGCCCCGGATCAGAGCAGAAGCAGCAACCACCCAAATCAAACCAGAGCACACAACCTCAAAGCCACTGACTGACAGGCGGGCAGCAGCACACCGCCGTGCTCATCATACCTGGTGACGCCGTGGAACCGCGACGACCGCGGGGCGGCGTACTTGCGCATGGCCTCCGCCACCAGCTTCCCTCCCCCGCCTGCGCTGGCGGCCCCGGCACCGGCCCCGGCCCCGCCCGGCCTCCTCTCCTCGCCGCCGCCGACGACGACGACGGCGAGCTGCTTGTCGAGCGCGGCGATCTCGCCGCCCGCCTCCGCTCCGACCGCGGCGGTGGCGGCGGGTTCGCCGGAGACGACGGCGGGCGGGTCCGGGGCGGCGTACCCGTGTCGCTCCTCCTGCGGAAGAGGTGTGGTGGGGCCCGCCGGCGATTGGGGGTGGACGGTGGCCATCGCTGCGGGTGGGTTGCGCTGGCTTTCGCGAATCTTCAAGTGCTCGCGTCACGATTTCACAAACCCTAGCTAGTTCTGGTCCCTAGCCGAGGTGGAGGTCAGGTCGGGAAGAGCTCAGCGCGGAGCACGAGCGGGACCCAACTGTCCGGTCGACGTGGAGGCCCGTGAAGGCGGCGCGCGGCTGCCCAGGCTTGGTCAGGCCCGGATCACTGATGGTCTTTGCTTGTTTCGCGTTTCTAGTGGGCCTGCTTCGTCATTAGGCCATGCGCAAACTTTGCGGTAGCGGGCTGTCCTTTTTTATGCATCGTATCGGGCTTGGAGGTATAGGCACGCTTTGGCCCATGAGCTCTACGGCTGCTGGCATTCTTTTTGCTATTGGACACCGGGGAAAAATGGGGGAAAAAAATCTAATTTACCTTCCTCTCAGTTATCGCGGTCATTCGATTTTGCTACATGAACTATAAAATATAAGTTTTTTATTCATATCAATTTTTAAAGTCATTTGGTTTTGCACCTTGGATGGTTTTAATGATATGACACCACGTCAAAGGTGGTAATCGAACTAAATTGAAAGTTCACAGACTAAAAATAATTTAAGATATATCCAAAAATTCATAAAAATAAAATTTTCAAAAAAATTACCCAAACATTTTTACATACAAATGCACTTAAAAATCCAAAAATTTGGATTAATCTTAGAAATTTCATAGAATTTTTTACCTCAGAAATTAAGAAACTAGTTTATTTTTTTTTAAATCATGTTCTATTTTATGGTGCCTGGCTTGAAACTATTTGAACTTTTATGTACTCATTTTGGCGCTTATTTTCTATTTGAATATTACGGCGCGGCGGCATCGTAGAAAATGGTATAGTTCGGGTAGAGAGCCAATTGTAATGGTAAGAATCCAAATAGCCGAATAATAATGGCAGATCTCCAAACCGTGACATTTGTAATGGCGTGGTTCAAATTAATCCTTCTCCCTGTCCTACCTCAAAAAAGTAGGAGAATGGAGCTATATATACCATCATGTCATCAAAGTTCTACCGCACATAGACAAACATAGAGTTTGGCGCCAAAAAGCTAGTAATGTAGACCACACAATGAGAATATCACTTAATTTTCACCATCTTGTCCTTGTATCATACATATGTCTTTTTCACGAACCCCTGGATTAAGACACACCAAATAATAGTGATTCAATCCCTACGGAAGGAGTTGGAGTTTAAGTCAAATTCCTAGCCGAGGCTTCGACCAATTTTCAAACGTGAGATGTAGTCATCTTAAACATGAGTCTTAAACATGAGACGATGTAGCCGTCTTAATTTCTACTCTATGCAAAATTGCATAATATACTCAAGTGAGACAAAGAAGGTGCGGAGAGAGAGCGATGAATAGGCAAGAGGAATGAACATGAGTCATGAGAGTAGGATGGGGGACAGATCATGTGAAAAATATGAAGACCACGGGCCCATGAAACCGAATCTATAGAAAAATTCCTAAACCCTAAGCTTATTTATGGATATATTGGCTATATGTTAGCACATATTTTCATCATGAAGGCCCATTTGGTAGGGTTCTATAGGTTTTCTTAGAAATCTTTTACAGCAATACTAATAATACACCCTTCAGCTGGCTGTATGGATATTTACAGCCCACCCATGAGCTCATTTACATAGTACTTCCTAAATTTAAATTATAAGACGTTTTGTTTTTTCTAGATACATAGTGTTTGTTATGCGCCTAGATATACACTATGTCTGGATACTTAACAAAAAAAACGATGTATCTAGAAAGCTAAAACATCTTATAATTTAGACACTGAGGGAGTAGTTGGTTTATGTCAGGATCCACATTTCTCTCTCACAAAGTTTCTTGGTTTTTGTGAACCCGCTTCTCTTCTTTCTCCTCTCCTCTCTCCTCCTCCTTAGCATTCCCTCTATTATACTTGCTCTTATATCTAGTTTCTCTTTGGAAACGTTTCTATGTGAATCAGGAACACTTTTGTGAAACCGTTTTAGCTCTTTGGTTGATTTTTGATTCAGTGGTAGTTGGAAGGTGAGGGAAATGAATCAGAATCACTAGAAACTGCATGTACCTGATTTTCATCCTAGTGGCTACTGTAAAAAAAGGGGGGGGAGGTTTCTCTGGTTTGATTATTCGTTCACTTGCCATAACACCGTTTGGCAGGGACTCCTATTTCTTGATGACTGATTTGAGAAACGCAATCTAAATCCTCGCAAAACGGTGCTCAATATATATATATATATATATATATATATATATATATATATATATATATATATATATATATATATATATATATATATATATATATATATATGCACAATCCAGAATATAATCCATAAGATTTTGCAATGCATATACGCGAGATAAACATTGCATCTGAAGTGTTTCCCGACAATAAAGATCAACTGGAAATGGTAAAAGAAGACTAAACAGAACCTGCAATTTCACATATCTAGAGTACCTTGTCACAGTAGCTCTAATTTTACACCCAACTAAAGATTCTGATCACCAGCTACGAACAAGCAACCTGACAAACACTGCAAAAACCTGCAATCTACATTTTCCTTCCAGATTACAACACTGCAATCTAAGTAGATCCAACAGTCATCGATCAGTAACAACACACGGGGCATCGGATGAGCCCATTCTCGTTGCAGTCCGGGCACTGACGGAAGAAGCCAGCCAGGCGCAGGCGGCACCTCTCGTCGTCGACGAAGACCTTGCAGCTGCCGTGGCACGTCTCGCAGGGCACGAAGCGCGCCTCGCCGCACGCCGCGCACGCGCCGGCGCCGGCGGGCCGCGCTGCCTCGCACCTGGCCAGCAGCGCGCGCGAGCTCGCCGGTCTCGTGCAGCGCGCGCACGTCCTCGGCGCCGCCGAGGTCGTGGCAGCCGCCGTCGACGAACACGCGCGGGAGCGCGGGCCCCTCGAAGCCGTCGCCGAGGAGGTCGCGCAGCTCCGACTTGACGGCGGCGTGCATGGACACGCCGCAGGATGGCACGCACGGCGCGGCAGTCCTCGAACGTCCGCCGCACGATGCGGAGGCTGGTCAGGTACAGCACCACGGGCTTCCCGGCGCGCGGCAGCCGGCGCCTTGGCGCCGTCACCTGGTCGCCGTCGTCGACGATGTCAGGGGCTTCCTCGGCCGCCACCGCCGCCGCCTTCTTGTTCTCCAGCTTTTCATCGAACTCGTCGACGTCGACGCGCGCGCGGACGAAGTCAGTGACCTCCGGTATGTCGCGGGCGGCCGGCGTCCCCATGTCAACGTGATCGTCGCAGGCCTCCTGTGGCGCCGGGTTCTCCTGCTCCGGGTAGAAAAGCGCCGGGTGCGACGGCGAAGTCACCTGCACGGGCTGCCAGAACCCAGGCAAGACCGCCGGGTCAAGGTCAAGCGCAGGCAGCGGCTCCGGAGGCAGAGACGACGGCGCAGGTTCTGCGCTCCATCGTGCCGTCCACGACGACGCCGCATCCTCGAGGCTGGTCATAACCGCCGCCACCGTGCTCCGCTGCTTCTCTTCCGCCGCCGCATCCTCGCCGGGGAGCGCCTCCTCAGCCGCGGCCGGATCACGGGCACCCTTCACCGGTTCCTCGAACGGCAGCGCGGTGTACGCGTGCCCGCCGCGGCACATGCCGAGGGAGCGCGAGCGCAGGCCCTGCCGCCGCTCCGCCGGCGCCGCGGACGACGAAACCACACCGCCGCCCGCCTCCCTCGAGCTTGAGCACCCCATCGCCGGAAGTGCACCCACACGTGCAGGGGTAATTTGGTTTGATGGAATGGGAGTATGGGAGGGCAAATATAGGAGCTGATGATTAGGTGGATGATGGATTATGATAAGGATTTGCCTGTAGTATTTAACAACTTAATTAAGTGGTACCATTTTTTAGGAGAGATGTAAGTGTAGAGCTGTGATTAGGTGGATGTATTCAAATTTTTACCTTTTAGGAGAACTTATTAGTAGAATATTGCTGGCTAATTTTAATCTGAGAAAAGGAAATTCAATTGGTTTTGCTTATAAAGTTTTGATGGCATTGCTTAGTATAGTTAAACACTGCCGAAAGTTAGTTCATTTGTTCACCATTCATAAAACCACCAAACACACATCAATTTTAGTGAGGTTATGTAAGGCAAGTCTTTATTCTGCAGCTCATCCAGTAAAACATCAGAAGACAACTATCCAGTTAAGCAACAAAAAGTTACCTTTTTTACAAGCTAGGGTGTGAAGAGCAACAAAAAGTTGTGCAAAATGTATTCAACTAGAAAATGTATTCGTCATTGAGTTGAGAATTAGCGACTTGAGTCACTTACTTATAGGTTCCCCGACCGCATGTTGGTTAGACGGGAAAATAATAAATCACCAATGAGTGTCCGCCGCAAACGAAGACTGTCCATGTCACTCACCGGAAATAAAAGAGTATCGACGTCACTTGTGTCCACAATTTCAAAAAACAACCGTCCCTCTAGATGAAGGTACCGTGTATTCTTAACTTCGCTAAATTTCAAAGAAAAATTTGGATTCTAGGACTCATAAATGAAAAACAATCTTTTAGTTCAAACATTTTAGAGGAAAAGATTCATTTATAAGTGATATATACTTAACAAACTTCAAGTTGAAATCCATGATACCTCAGTTGAATCCTAATAAAGCTTCAAATTTAAAACCTTGAACCTACTGATTGAAAGCAATTGATTCATATGCAAAGCTTCAAACTAGAAACCTATTGATTCATCATAAGCAAAGGGAACATACCTCGGATCTATCATAATATTAGATACCATATCTAATAAAGCACAGGCACCATAGTCAAATCTGCATAATAGGTGTCCACAAGAAATAGGACTTACCCAACTCTGAACCCTAAAAGCTAAAATTTTACATATATAATTACATATTGTTGGGGGGCGGGGGTGCTGGGATATAAAATACATATATTTAAGGATAGGTAATAATATGGGATGGAATATGAGAACCGTTCGAATATAGTTTAGATTGCTAAATTAAATTGTACATTTTTTGTGGTGGGTGGGTAGGTGGGAGACGTATAGAATGATTGTTTACAAGGATGTGCTTAATTTTGTGATGCTTGTAAGCACCGAGAATATAGTAGTATTTTATTGGTTAATTTGTATTTTAGAAAAGGAACCAATATATTTTGTTGACCAAGGTCAATTGCACTGTTTAATATTTAAACATTGCTAGAATAATGTGATGTCTATGATAGATCATCTAGAGACCAGAAAACAACTATGCTAGTTGAGAAAATGACAATAATGTATTTGACCTACATTTTTATAAGGGTGTAGAGAAAGAAAGTAGTACAATATATATTTAATCACTGACATGAGAATCCGGGATTTAAGTTACATTGATAAAAAAGTGACCATTATTTAATTTACCACTGTACAAGAATTGTAAAAGGTAAAAATAGAGATGCAAAATTTCACCAACAAGTTGAGATCTATTACTCTAGTCTCACTAACATCATGTACATCTTTGACCATATGCCAAACAAAGACCACGGAGTCACTTGACAAAAATTTCAAAATCAACTTCCCCCCTAGATCTAGATAATTAACTATCCTTGACATCGTTAGAGTTTAATGAAAGATTCAATTCTGTGATTCCTAAATGGGTCCAAAACAACATTTATGCTCATATCCATGCTATAGAGCAAAAGATTCATTTTATGGTATCCGTGCTATAGAGCAAAAGATTCATTTTATGGTATTCATGATGTAGAGCAAAAGATTCATTTTATGTTTGGGATATTTATCATACTTCTAATTTAGATATATGATAATAGCAAGCTAGTTGAAATCACAGTAAATTATTGAATTTAGTACCTTCAATTGATTGCTATGCAAAGCTTAAATTAGGAAACATGTCTATTCTTTTTTTTTTCTTGAAACATGTACATATGCAAATGCCTATACAAGTAATATAAACCCTAACCCTATGAACGACTAGGGAAATTGGACTAATAATTGGGATTGATGAAGTCATGAACACCATGCCAATGTGAAACACCTATGTGAGATTGGACCAACAAATCTTGATATTGACAATGACACCACAGACACGTTGTTCGCTAGCACATCCTTGTACTACTAAAAGAAATAGTCACAATAATGAGACATGTACAGCATTAAACTTGAGGTTCAATACCTAGTGGGTAGGAAGTACATCCATCTTTGCTAACCATGAAACCTATGGTTCTTATAAACTTGTCGATTCTTATGGAAATGAACCATAAATGTTAGGTTCATCTCTTTTATTGGATGTAAGATCCAACAAAAATAATATCAACCCTAGTCGAATCCTTACAAGAGATGTTTACAGCCAATTTTCTCTAGGCAATTACATATTATTTGGGAGGAGGTAGAGACTAGTTGTAAGTGCAATCAAGCCCTATTGTGGGTTTTGGCATTGATGACCACCAAATTAGAGGACTAATGAGATTTAGCGAGATGACAATGAGATTTATCGAGATAACAAGCACGGAATCGAAAAATGAGGATGATGTACAGGTTGCAGGTGTCCTAATTACAAAAGGTGGCTAGACCTAGCTCAAAGGAGGTTTAAATTCTTTTATGTTTTGAAATTGAGTTTAGGAAAAGCCGTACTATTAAGAGGGATTTTAGGACAGTTGATCAAATATTGAACCAGATGCTCAAATTCACAGATTTACATCATCTCACCTAGTCAAAACAGCCAGCCAAATTTCATATCATCTTACCTATTTTGGCTAGGGCGGCAGTGCCGCCCTGTTAAGAGCGGCAGTGCCGCCCTTAACTGACCGTTGGGCTCGAGGGGTATTTATACCCTTCAGGCCTGGCCCACAACGGTCATCTTCTCCACTGAGTCATTCTGCTCGAAACAAGATAGAACCAAAGCTCACTTTTCTCCTCCATTGTTGCTCCTCCATCCCTCAAGCTAATCCTTGATTCCAATCATCAAAACTTGAGAGAAAAGGCAGCAAAACTCGATTGGAGAGGAGATCCACTGATTCCCAAAGTCTAAGAGCATTTGGTTCACGTTTGGCCGGTGGTTCTAGGGTTTGTTACTCTTGGAGCTTACTCCTAGCCGGCTAGGCGTCGCCCTTGTGCTTGCCAACTCGTGTGGTAGCCTTGGGAGGTTTGTAACCTCATTCGAAAGCTAAGAAATCACCCCTCACTTCAAGAGTTCACTCTCTTGATTTGAGAACGAGGGTAAGGCAAGCCTTTGTGGCAAGCTTAAGCCTTTTGTGGCTTCCTCAACAACGTGGACTTAGGCAAACCTTGGTGGTGAGCTGAACCACGGGATAAATCTTGCGTCTCGCGTGCTTTATCTTGTTTACTTGCTGGTTTAGCTCATTACTAGCTGTTGTTAGGGTTTAGTTACTCGATCCACTCTCATGTGGAGGTTCTGTGGTATTCAGTCTTCAAACTGGATCTTGTCTTTATATTGCAGGATTAAGCAGCTAGTGTGGTCAGGTTCATATCTGCAAAATCTCAACTGTGTTAGATTTATTTTCGAAGAGCAGCAGTGCCGCCCTCTGTTCTAACAGAGTTTTGAGTTGAATTTTTACAGGCCTATTCACTCCCCCTCTAGGCCTTCTTTATCTTTCTGTAGATCCTACAAGTGGTATCAGAGCTAGGTTGCTTCGTATACGCTTCACCGCGTGAAGTATGGAAGAAAGAGAAGGTTCGAAGACCGTTCGCGTTGCGGATGCAAGTGGTGTGCATGTCGAGGATGTCGACAGCAACATCGAGCTATCCATGTCGACAGCAAGTGATGCCACCATCAAAGAACCCAAGACCACCGATGCTGAAAGAAGAAAGGCAAGAAAAGAAAGAAAAGCCACCAAGATCGCAACAAGAGAAGCAAGGGAAAAGAAGGAAGAGCAGCGGCTCAAAGACAAGAAGAAGAGAAAAGAAGCAAGAAGAATCACAAGAGAGGCAAGAGCCAAGAGAAGGGCAGCAAGAGCTCAAGAGCAAGAGAAGAATGAGTATGATGCATCATCTAGTGAGCTCTCTAGTAGCTCGGATGATGGAGATGATGATGTGTCATACCATGCTTCAAAAGATAGCAAGAAGGTGAAGAGCAAGGACAAGAAGAAGGATAGTGATGACAAGGGCAGCCACAACAATAAGAACAAATACGCCACCGTATCCTTTAATTATTCTTATTTGTCTAACCATAACAAAAATGTCCTTTATCAATATACCCGCGGGCAAGTTGCCACATTTTGATGGGACAAACTTCGCCAAGTGGAAGCACTTGATGAGTGCCTATCTTGTAGGTCTTCACCCCGGTCTTTGGGAGATTGTGGTGAATGGATTGCAGCCACCGGAAGATCCCGAAGCACCAACAAATGAGGAGCTAGCTGCTGTCCATCTCAATGGCCAAGCCACAAGTATTCTTCTTAGTGCCTTAGATGGAAATGAGTACAACCAAGTGATGAATGTCAATATTACAAAGCAGATTTAGGACACTTTGCATCTAGCTCATGAAGGTGTTGATAAAGTGAGAAAAGCAAAGATTGATTTGTTGATGGCTAAGCTCAATAGGTTCGTGATTGTTGATGGAGAAGGGCCACAAGAGATGTTTGATAGATTGATGACCTTGGTGGGCAAGATTAGAGGCTATGGATGTGATGAGCTTGATGATTACAAAGTGGTGAAGGTTATGTTGGAAGCCTACTCACCAAGAAATGAGACCGTAGTTACCTTGATTAGAGATAAGAAGAA